GGACAAAGGGCTACAACACTCATGAGTGCTCATAAGTTCTGAGTATTGGATTCAACCCGCGCTCATTGAATCACTTCATGGATTTTATCACGAGTGATCATGAGACGATAATATCTTATATTCTTCAAACCTAGAGATATGAGTTGTTACTATGAGTTGGTTGTACATTGATTGCACGAAACCGCATTTGGTAACTCGGTGCTATAAAACGTGCCTTTGTGTATGATTCAACAAGTAGTAGAACAAGCCATATGAGTCGAAGTTTATTCATTCCTTTTACCTTCGGGATAAAAGCGATATTTGTGGGCCCCTCGATGATTTGATGATGACAAATGGAAGTGCTCGGTCGGGCCGGGACTGATTTGATTTGTTCAATTAGTCAGTCGTCATAAATCGGAAATCAGGAAACAACAAATGGACAGAGAGAATGATTATAATCCATGTCTAGTCCATATGATATCTAGAATGGAGGAATATATGATCCCTTATGTAATGGACAAGTCATTGAAAAGGTCAGCGTTTATCGACAAGGTCAGAGTTCGACAGAAGCTTTTGAGAGCTACGATTGCCAGTTGGTTCCTGAAGTCATACGCAATAATAGTTTTAGACTTATCCAAGTGGGAGAATGTTGGATTAATGTCTAAGTCCATAACTATAATTGGTAAGACTTGACCCGACCCGGCATGGTCCATTTGGGTTGCATGGCATCATGCACTTGGATAGACTATAATGAGAGAAATAAGACACTTACGGTTATTAATATATTATAAGTTCTAGTATATTAATAATAAGAATAATAAGATTATTTAATTAGTATTGATCAAGAATTAATCTAGGATTAATTAAGTGATCAAAAGAAGACTAATTAAATATATGGGTTGATTGTGTAAATCATCCATACTTGTATAGTGGGCTAATGCTCCATGGATAATCATGTTGGGCTAAAACCCATAGGATGGTCGATGGATGCTCTGGTGTATTTGAACCCATGGATCCAAGGAAATGGAAAGTCATGACAATTAGGGTTTGCCCTAATTGTAACACTATATAAAGATCTTATTCTTGACCAAAATCGGCCACTAGTGAGAGTAAAAAAAGGGCTAGCCGATTTCATGAAGTGTAGAATTCTCTCAAGTTATTCCAAGTGTATTTGGTGTTGTGTGAACCATTTGAGGTGTCACACTTGGGGCACTAGGCACTCAAGCTTCATGAAGACATTCTACATCAAAGAGGTATGTATTCTATCTTGTTATATTGATAGTTTTGTATGCTAGATTAGGATAATACCTTGGATGTTCATATTTGCATGTATAATAGAGAAAACATAGATCCAAGGTATTTAGGGTTGCATGTACACTTAGGAGTGTTAGAATGCTCATAACCCAATATAAGCAACACCAGATAGACTTGTCATAAACCCAAAATTACTCCCAAAGCCAACCATGGTCAAACTTGGTCAAAACCAAGGTCATCAGTCAAAGTCAACGGTCCATGTTGACTCCAACTCGTCGAGTGCATCTAGCGTCTCGTCGAGTTCCTTCCAAGTCCAGAAGAGTTGATCAAACCCTAGCCAACTTGTTGAATTGTTTCATCAACTCATCAAGTTCTCTTGATATATAGAAAACAGGGACACCGAACTCGATTCGTCGAGTTGCTAGAGGAACTCGTCGAGTCCCCCTTCCTGTTTGCTTATTGTGATTATACACCGAATACAGGGATTCCAGGGCTTAGATCTGATGCCCTAAGGTGCCTAGAAGGATAAAGTTTCCAACTTTACCTTCTAGAACCGTTCCAAATGCTCTAAGGGCCTTAGTAAAGGTTAAAAAGCTTTAAAGCTTTTCCATATGGTCCAAAACTCTAGGGATCTGAAATCCATCCTTTCCAAAAAGGTTTCTAGTCCTCAAAACGTTCCAAAGATGGAGGCTTTATGGATATGCATGTCCAATGCATGTCTCTAGGTCAAAATGGCCAAAAAGAGGGAAATATGCCCTAAAACCCATGTACGGTGTCCTTACTCGACCAAAAGCCAGATCTAGCCCACTTTGGGACCATTTTGCCCTGAAGATTCATAAAGTTGCAAACTTTATGAACCCCATGCATGCAATCAACAAAAGGGTAGGAAATGAAGAGTACTCTCAATATCTAGCACAATCTATGATAAAAATTGAGTCTTGAAGACCTAGATCAGTCCACAAGAAGTCCAAGCTCAAGGATGGGTGCTTGGTTTGCTGGATCTTCGCACTATCTCCTTCTTCTTAAGCTTCAAAACTACACAAACACACAAAATGGATGAGAATGGGAATTAGGGTTAGCACAAACATTCTTCGGGTTTGGAGGCTGATGGGAGGTCAGCCTTAAGGCCCTTAAGGAGATTATATAGGGGGCTAACCTTAAAATTAGGGTTTTATCATTACAACGCCTACTCACAAAGTCGGCCTTCCGACTCATCGAGTAGATAGTAGATCCCGCATCCTTGAAATGCCCTCTACTCGACAAGTTTGACACCCAACTCGCCGAGTCCACACACACCAACACCCTAGATCTTAAATAAATTAAGTAATACCTGGAACAGATGTTACACCAAGGGAGTGCCCTGACATTGTTCCCATATTTATTTATAGGATTGGAATATACCCCAGAGCTAGGCCCACTAATGTGTATATTATGTGGCATTTTTAAAGCAACTCTTTAAGCTTTGTGCTTACGGTATTGTGTTTTAAACATTTTTAGGTACTTCCAGTTTGAAAAGGAAGAGTCCGACTTGATCACATTGCATCTCCTAAAGATTTATTCCGCAATGATTGTTTATAATTTTACTCTGATGTTTTGAGAATACTTTTAATCTGATTGTCTTTTGGGATAATGTATTAATGGTTTTGACTTATTTAATATGAAAATTTTACTTGGTATTTTTGGGACGTTACAAGATTCATCAGAACCAAGTAATTTTTTGTGAGTCAAACCTTGAAAAGGCACATGTCATTCCTCGACCAATCATTCAAATATGCGTGTCAACTTTGTTCATGTTTTATGGTTTTGTTGTTATTGCTCATTTACTAATACTAGTATTAAAAGTGTTAATTATGAATTATAATTTGTGTTTGTTTGGTATTTCCATTTTGGTTGAACAAGTTAACACTTCTTTTACAATAAAACTAACAATACATTTTTAAGAAAAAAAAACATAAATTTAATTTGATTAAGTGACTCATGGATTACAAATTATTTTCCGATCAAGTGATTTGAGGATTGCATTTTATTAGGATTAATTACAAATCTTAATTGTTTATGATGTTCTATCATAATTTATAGTTTTATTATTTTAGAATGCATTAAAATTTTTAATATTAGAAAGTTGATTATGTTTTCTTTATGGGTATTGGTTTTGTAGATGTAGTCATTGATATGGAAAAGAAGAAAATAAGGAGAACGATAATGGATTCTACAAGAATATATAAAACGATTATAAGGAATAATATTCTTTCAAAATGGATTAGTTTTTTGTTAGATAATGATGTTCTTTTTTTTTTAACCGTTTTTGTTTTAATCTTTAAGAACAAATATAATTCTTAAGAGTTATTAGTCATATTTATTATTTTCAAAATGAATGCAATTATTGTTTATAGTCATATTCTTTTAAAATTAATGTAATTAGCAATTCATAAAAAATAAAATTCGTTTCATATGAAATTTGTATTCTTTTAAAAACAATTATTTTAATAATATACGATATATAATTCATTAAGCATGTAAATTATAAAAAAAAAATATATTGAATGAAATCATATTCTATAAGAATAAAATCCGAAATATTTTTGCTAGTTTATGGCTAATATTCTATCATTCTAACAAAATAAAATCGGCGATTATAAAAATTATGTAACAATTAAATTTGAATTAATTTTAAAATATAGATTTTTAAAATTAATAGAACTAACTATTCCTTAAATCCAAAAATTTATTTTTTTAAATATACTTTAATTGAAAAAAATACATTCACCTGGAAATTTATGTAATTATATGGTACATATTATCTTATTTTAATATCATGGACCTTCATATCATCACCATTGATTCTATTTTGGTATAGAAATGTCCTTACGACCACATATATATATATATATATATATATATATATATATATATATATATATATATAAAGAGAGAGAGAGAGAGAGATATGTATGTTTCGTTGAGATTTAAAACAAAGTAGAGATCTTGGGATTCAACCTTAGCCACGTATTTCACATCTGCCGCTCTAACCCTCCGACGTACGAGTGAGATAGGCCTCATATAATCATATATGATTATGCAGCGTCACTCATTCCTTTCTCCTCCGTCACCATGCCTACCACAATAACCACCATAGCCACCACCAATACTACCACCTTTGACACCAATCGACTCCAGCATTGTCACCTCTGCTATTTATACCACTGTCACCTTTGTTACCGCCATCTCTTCTACAACTAACTCTTATAATCATTTATGATTATTCAATATGTGAGTAGACTTATATTTATAATTATTTATGATTAGACATATACGTATAAACATGTATAATCCTATATGATTATACCTTTTTGCCATATAATCATTTATCATTAGGCATACCCCGTTGTTACCGGTATGCTAGAGCATTAAAGCGACAAACGAGAAATATGTGGCTCAGGTTAAATATCAAGATCTCTATTTTTTTTAATCTCAAATGAACCGTTATATATATATATATATATATATATATATATATATATATATATATATATATATATATATATATATATATATTGTTGGGGTTGTTGATAAATAGTGTTGCATATATAGATGTATAAATAGACATAAGCTAGAGAATATAATTTTTATGAAAATATAGATTGTAACCGGTTGTTATTAAACATAATCTAATTATGATGTTTTCTAACATATTCTACTTGTGGCAATTTTTACATTATCTATTTTAGCTGGAGAAAAAAAAAAGGTGGGGGGAGGGTTGTGGTAAGCAACGAAGCTAAACGCTCAATATAAAGCAGTGAGGAGGTCAAACATTTTTCATCGTTCACCTCTTTTCTTCTTTTACTTATCAAGAGAGATGGTTCTAACCGGTAAGCTGGTTAAACAAGTTGCAATCAGACTAGATGGGGATCTCTTTTATGAAATATATAAATATAAACAACACCGTATATCTGAAATGAGTCCTGGTAGCATAAAAGGTGTTGATTTGCATGATGGTGAATGGGGTGTCGTTGGATCAGTCATCGTTTGGAACTTTATCCATGGTAAGTTCATCAATATGCATTTTGTTTAACAAAATAGCATCTTCATGTCTAAGTGAACTATTTACAATATATTTCAAATCAAATGTTAGATGGTAAGGAAAAAGTGGTTAAAGAAGTGATTCAAGCGATCGATGATGGTAGAAGATCGTTGTGTTTCAAGGTGATTGGGGGCGATTTAATGCAGGCTTACAAGACCTTCTTGGTAACAATACACGTGGACACTATGGGAGAAGAGAACTTGGTAACTTGGATTTTCGACTATGAGAAACTCAAAGAAAATGTTGAAGACCCACACACTTTGATGGATTTATGCCTTAGTGTCACCAAAGATATTGAGAACAGTCACATCGTTAACTCAAATTAAATCTCATATAAGTATATATATACAATTTCTGAGAGTAAACATCGTTGGATCTTTTGTGTTTTTTTCACTGTATATATGCTTTATTTCTTGTGTGTCACCTACTCAACTACAAATAATCTTTGTATCCTAGTGCACAATTATATCAATAAAACGAGTTTGTAATATAATTCTAGGAAAGTCGAATTGTAACCGGGAATTCCTTGTCTTGTACTATTTTTTTTAAAGTTTTCAATAACTTTTATTGATGATAATTTGTTAATTTTAAATGGCCAAATGACAGGGAATTAATAAGTATTATTTGATGAGTCATATTTATACCCTGTTAAATTAATAAAGACTTAGTGATGTCCCTTATTTGTTTTATATGGAGAATGGTACTCGAAGATATATTTAAAACAAAAGACCTTTTTCTTTATATTATAAAAATTATAACTACGTGGAATGTTTCGTTGCCAAGACAATAATTTATTTAAACAGTGTGCTTCCTACTATTATAAGGTAGTGTTTGCTATCTCCTAGCTGAATATAGAATAAGATAGAGTATTACAACAAAATAAAAATAGAAAATTTGGTAAATGACCAAAATATAGGATGAGTTTCGAAGAAAATGATCACAAAAACGAACATTTCAGAAAATGATCACAGGTTCCGCAGAGGGGGTTCTGCGGAACCATAAACATCTCTGCGGATCTTAGTTTTTTTTTCATTTTTTTAGTTTTCTGATTATTTTTATTTATTTTTTTATTTTTTTTGTTTTCATTTATTAATATATTTTTTTAATTACATAAGGTATTATGTGATTATTATGTAAAAAAATTGTTTTCATTTTTTTATTTTTCTTATTTATTTATTCATTTTTTTTCTTTTTTTTTTGTTTTCGTTTATTAATATTTTTTAATCACATAAGGTATTATGTGATTATTATGTAAAAAAAATTGTTTTTGTTTTTTATTTTTCTTATTTAATTTCCCGTTTATAAAAGTTACGTGTTTAATAAAAATTATACAAATATACTATGTTTTTTTATAAAATTACACACACCGGTATTCTGAATAATAAACATACTTTAAGTAGGTTACAAAACATATTTTAAAAAACATAAACATACAACCTTCATAATAAACATACTTTGAAATAAACTTCATTAAAGGTTCTGCGGATCCTCTACAGCTCTGCGAAATCTTTGTTTTTTTATTTTTTATTTTTTTTCATTTTTTTGCATTCATTTTCGTTTATTAATATATATATTTTTTAAATACACTAATACCTTATGTGATTATTATGTAAAAAATTCTACAAAAAATGTTAAAAATAATGAAATGTTTTATGTAATATGTTTGTCTCTGAGGAACCGAAACACCTCTGCGGATCTTGAGTTTTTTAATTTTTATTTTTTCGTTTGTTCTATTTTTTGTTTTGGTTTATTAATATTAATTTTTTAATACACTAATACCTTATGTTTTATGTAGAAAAATTGACAAAAAGAGGTTTACAATAATGAACTTATGTTTAATATCAGTCCACAGAATTGTTTGGGAATCCACAGAACTGTTATCAGCGGATCAGTGTACACATCTGCGGATCAGTGTACACCTCTGAGGATCAGTATACACCTTTGTTGATTTGTGTACACCTCTGCGAATCAGTGTACACCTCTGCAAATTAGTATATACCTTTGCGGATCTATGTACACCTCTGCGGATCAGTGTACACCTCTGCGGATCTGTGTACACCTCTACGGATTAGTTATAGAAGTTATAGACGTATTTTAATGGTTTTTTGTAAGTTTATGAGTGTCAATTACCAGTAGAAATTGTTTTTTCATTATGTTTGTGGAGAGTGATTTGTAAATACACAACAGTAAAAATACATGGAAAACCTACACCAGTAGCAAACATATTATATAAAACAATTCATTATTTTTAACTTTTTTTTTGTCAATTTTTTACATAATAATCACATAAGGTATTAGTGTATTTATAAAAATTAATATTAATAAATGAAAATGAACACAAAAAAGGAAAAAAACGAAAAAAAATTAAAAAAAATCAAAAAACAAAGATTTCACAGAACTGTAGAGGATCCGCAGAGACTTTAATGAAGTTTATTTCAAAGTATGTTTATATGAAGGTTGTATGTTTATGTTTTCTAAAGTATCTTTTGTAACCCACTTAAAGTATATTTATTATTTAGAATACCAGTGTGTGTAATTTTATAAAAAAACATAGAATATTTGTATATTTTTTATTAAACACACAACTTTATAAACGGGTAATTAAATAAGAAAAAATAAAAACAAAATTTTTTTTACATAATAATCACATAATACCTTATGTGATTAAAAAAAATATTAATAAACGAAAAAAAACAGAAAACGAAAAAAAAAGAAAAAAACCAAGATCCGCAGAGGTGTTCATATTCCGCAGAGGTATTTATGGTTCCGCAGAACCCCTCTGCGGAACCTGTGGTCATTTTTTGAAATCTTCATTTTTGTGGTCATTTTCTTCAAACTCACCCTACATTTTGGTCATTTGCCGAATTTACTCAATAAAATTTTTTTTCCGCCATAAATGAATAAAATGAATTATTTTTCTTAAATGTGACTTGACCTGCCTGATAAGTAGCTTGTTTATCTGTAGTTGGCTGGTTAGTAGCTAGCTAGTGGACAATCCATTAGCTTGGTTGTCGGTTAGCGTAGAATGGATGTTCGGTTCTAGGTAGGGTTTATATTTTATTTTGCATATGAATAAAGACTTATAGCTAGGGTTTCAAAAAGGTCGAGTAACACTGTAATATCATTTTAAAGGTTGTGAATAAAAATACTTTCTCGTGCCCATAGATGTAGGTCATATGCAACGTCCCAATTTTTAGACTAATTTTTTCATTTTTAAAATAATATAAACACCCATTTTTAATAAAGTTACATTCAGATCAAACCAATTGCTCATAAGCCATTATTCAGAAATCATAGTTATAAAGAAGACAATGTGAAATCTCGAATAATAAAACTATTGATGTGTGTACAGTCCTGCCTTCGTAATACGATAAGTACCTTCAAAATATTTAATCCACTACTGTAAACAAAAATGAGTTCCCAAAAATATCACATACAACGTGACATAATAATCAGGTACGGTTTATTAGCAGCCCTGAGACTATCAGCGGTTCTGAATATCATATAAATCACAACAATATGAACAACTATGGGTTATCAGCAACCCTATGGACTATTAGCCCTCCAAGTAGGCTAACAACACACCATGTGGATTAACATCACACCTTATGAGCTATCAGCAACCCTAGGGACTATCAGTAGTCTCATGGAATCCCAACAGTCTTAGTGTTATCAACAACTTAGTTCATATATCACAACAATCAACAGATAAGACCTAGTTAGTCAACATGTATACACTGCCACACAGACAGATATAGTAAGAAAACTCACCTCGTAGATAACAGCTAAACACAAAAAGCTCCCATACAGCGAAGAACGATCCTACAAGGAACCTAACAGGAATAAAGTGTACCCTCTTAGTCTACACTCTAAAACCCTTGTATTGACCAAAAGTCAACCTCAGTAGGTCTCTATATCATGGCCACTCGTAGGCCACATCGTGGGTGCTACACGAAAAAACAGTCGCCAACCCCCTGGCCATCATGTCATGGCGGCCAAAATGCCAAGTCGTAAGAACTTTGCTTCCACATCTATTAATGCGTTAAGCCACTATGCCATCCCAAAATTTAGGTCATAGACTGCGAACGACTAAATTACAGTAAATCTATTTGTAATTTTACTTATAGAGCTTTAGTGCATCTAATGTAAAATAAATGATTTCATTTCAAATATTATAAGATACCAAATAATACCTTACTTCCGATTGTGTAAACTGTCAAACGAATAAAGCAGCTCAAACTGCAATATTGGATAATGCGTCTAAAAAATTGAAAATTTGTATTAAGCTGTTTTGAGAAATATTTAATTTCATACTCAAAATATTTTAGCAAAAATATTTGCAAAAATAAAAAAATCGAGTGTTACGAGCCATTTAGAAGCAAAACTTTAAACACGATTTCCCGGAGTTCCGTAACTCAAAAAATTAATCCATTCAGGTTTTTGGGAGTCCTTGAATTAAACTCTATCTATCGAAACTTTCTGAAAAATTTCTCGACATAGGGATCCCGATACACAAAGATATAGTGGTTTTAAGCAATTAAAGAGAATGGCATCTTGATGGGCCCGACCTTGCTTGATCAGCCTTCATCTGAGCTTTAACCCACATTTTCCGAAGCCATTCCTCCTTGTGTACACTCAACAATAAGGTACATGATATAGTGGTGAGGTATGGTGTTTAAGAGATATGAAGTACATCTTTGGCTATAAAAAGAAGCTTATGCAACCTCATTTGACAAACAAAACTACCAGCTCTTCGTCTTATTCTTTATTCTCAATCTCTCCTTCCATATATCTCTTTATCTCTCTTTGTTACAATAACACCACCATTATCCCACCATAAAACCACAACCCTAAACTTCCTAATACCCACCAAACACCATCTTATACCTTATCCACTATCCCCTCTCCTTCTCCTCATCGGAAACTGCCAAGAAGAAGGAAGAAGTGAGTGGTAGCCACCTTGTTGGACCACACTTCCACCACACAACCATTCACTACCACCACCATCTAAACCACTTTCGGTAAGGCTATTTATGTGGGACTACCTTTAGAAGGCTCCCTCTACCCTCCTCTTCCTTCGTCTTCACCAGATACAAGCAGAATCTAGCAGCAGGAGGCTGCCAGAATCCTCCCGTCATCACCAACAACCCAAACTGCCACTTCCCTTGTGTAGTCAATCACCATCATCATCAATCACCATCGTAAGAACTCCTCCCCTCCCCCGTTATATTTTTTGTGTTAATCACCATTTCCAGTTGAGGTCCGATCGAATATTTTTCCTCCTTTGTGTGTATGGCGATCGAACACAATATGAGGAGGAGGATGACCTCCTCCCTTGTGCAAAATTCATTTCAATATAAATCCTATTTACCAAATATTTAAATTCCTTACAAAATCAGTCCCAAGCCCTCAAACTTCACTTTAAAATTGTTTAAGATACTCCCATCATTTCTAAAATCCTTAAAAACCTGGTCCAAACTTTGAATCAAATATTACAGTTTCTACCCCAAATTCAAAATTCCCTTTAC